GAACTTGATAGGAACGGAGGCTCCTGGCCCTCCGGGGCTTGAGGCTGATTCAGACAGGTTACGGTGGGCTCCCGGGAATCCGTATCATCCCCAAGCTCCCTGGGTGATTCCAACATGCAGAGTCTCCGAGTCACACTTTCAGAAACTCTGCCCTTTATCTCCTATTGCACATGTTCTACATATGAAGGAATCAAAGAAAAACCCCTCTTACTTGCAGTGTCATACTTTTGAAGTCTTCACAGCTACGGAATTGTGGAATCCAGTCAGACTCCTCTCCAGAGATTTCTGGATCGACTTCGCCTTTTTAGAAAAAGGAAGAATGCATAGAAAACGGTCACATTAAAATGATTAGTTAGCTGTATTAGACTTTTCAAAATTATAATTAATTTTATAGAAAAGATTCTCATGAGAAAATACTGAATGCTAATGAAGGCTCTGGTATAGACTAAGTAAGTGCTTATATATTATCATAAACATTGAGTGTTTGCAGTTGAAAAAGACCTTGAAGATCCTCCAGCTCAATTTCTACTATATACATTATGACCTCTCCAATGACATCATGATTTTCTGCCTCTAGTTCTTTCATTTTCTTGAATTTTTTTTTTTAGATTTTTTAAAGTTTATTTAATCTTCATGTAGACACTGACACGTAAGAATATAAACTAAGCAAAGGAAAGGTCTTTTATTCCCTTCTTTGAGAACTGAATTCATCCTTTTCATCATTAGGCATTCAAGAATAAAAGCCTATGTGATATTCAAATAAAAGTGAAAACATTTTTAATGCCTGAAAAAGATGTAACAGACAATGTTAGAAGTTACGTGTGCATGTGTGTCTGTTACTTTCTGATGTTTAGGAATAGCCACATAGCAGACATTGACCCTATTGTTTTGTGTAGTAATTGGGAACCTTTTATTTTTTTGTGTTCTTTCCTCCCAGTTCTGAACATTGGCCATCTCAAAACAATAAACATTTTACCAATAATTTTAACATTTCCAAATTTGAAGTTGAATTTACTATTAGAAGGTCTTATAAAAATGTTTTATACCAGTTATATGAATTCCATACAAGGGTATATTGGGGAGTTGAGCAAATTATAGAATACTAAAATATTTTATCACTTAAACATTTTTTTTGTGAGAGGGCATCTCTCATATTTATTGATCAAATAGTTAACAACAATAAAATTCTGTATAGAGGACTCAATGCACAATCATTAATCAACCCCAAGCCTAATTCTCAACAGTCTCCAATCTTCTGAAGCATAACGAACAAGTTCTTACATGGTGAACAAGTTCTTACATGGTGAACAGTGCAAGGGCAGTCATATCACAGAAACTTTTGGTTTTGATCACGCATCATGAACTATAAACAATCAAGTCAGATATGATTATTCATTTGATTTTTATACTTGATTTATATGTGAATCCCACATTTCTCCCTTATTTTTTTAATTAATCTTTTAAAATAAAACGCTGAAGTGGTAGGTAGATGCAAGATAAAGGTAGAAAACATAATTTAGTGCTGTAAGAAGGCAAATGTAGATGATCAGGTGTGTGCCCATAGGCTAAGTATTAATCCAAGCTAAACAAGGGCAACAAAACATCCAAGGATGCAGAAGATTTCTCTCAAAACAGGGGGGCTGAGGTTCTAAGTCTCACCTCTGCTGATCCCCAATTTCTCACCTGTTAGCCCCCCTGCGACTGTGCCTGTCTTAGGTTGTTCCTCCCTTGAGGAATCTTACCCGTCCCTGGCTAACCAGCCATCTTCTGGGGCCTTACAGGGAAATGTAAAATTGGTAAGTGAGAGAGAAGCAATATTCTTTGAAAAGGTTAGCTTTTTAGTTCTTTGCAGATTTATGCCCTGTGGCTTCTATGCCCACCATTTGTCTTGACATATCTTTACCACTTAGAAGAATTATGATACTTGGTAATTTTCGATATGAGGCACGAATTCTACTAAAGGGTTGTAATTAGGAAGGAAGAAGAAAACCTATAGAAGTAGCAGACGGAAGAAAACAGGGGAAGATTATTTCTTTGACATAACTTCTTGTAGAGTAACATAAGCATGTATAGGTTTTAAGAAACTACTAATTAAATTGCTTACACACATTAACAGAATAGAAATACAGATACATAACAAATGCAGACCTACAATTACCAGCCATATCCAGTGAAACCACGAAAACCAGTTAGGTACCCTAGGCATTTGTGAAAACTTATCAATGATATGATGGATATTGTCTAACTGAATTTGAATAGTTTGAGAAAAATCAGACAAATTAAAACAACACATTCCTGGGAACTGTTCACATCACATATGTTCCTTTAACACTAGATACTCTATAGTTGCATGATTTTGGAGCACTGCAACTGGCACTTCTCCTTATTCTTGGTTGAGTTCAGACAATATAGATCCAGCCAAATTTGTTGTTTTACTGTATGCACAGGCCAGCTTAGATATCTCCTTCTTCATTCCAATGGCAAGTCCAGGAACCGGGGGGATGAATGCAGCTACAACTGCAACAGCGCCAGGATCTTTGTTGAAGTCTTTTGATGGTCATCTTCTGGAATGATTCTTCCAGAGGATGTTGATGTTGGAAGGTCTTCTTCATATCGTATCTTAATTCGTTTTCTAGGTAGCCAAATTAGGCTTTGATCCTCTGTATAAACACAAACAAAGCTTTTGTCCACACTTTGATATGACCCTTATACCATTGTGAAGAACCTATTGGAGACCACCACACAGGAACTGCTTTTTTTTTTAAGATACAGAAATATTATCAGAAAAATGCACTTCCATAGCTGATCATCCGACACCCTTTAAAAGATCAAAATTAAGGATATGTAAAGCATGCATTAACCATTGATTTCTAGTTAATTTTATCCTATCAGGGAGTAATTACCCCCTTTTTTGTTATCATTAATCTACAATTACATGAAGAATATTATGTTTACTAGGCTCTCCTCTACACCAAGTCCCCCCCACAAACCCCATTACAGTCACTGTCCATCAGCATAGTAAGATGTTGTAGAATCACTACTTGTCTTCTGTGTTGCACAGCCCTCCCCTTTCCCCCACCCCCACATTATACATGCTAATCATAATACCCCCTTTCTTCTTCCCCACCCTTATCCCTCCCTATCCTCCCATTCTCCCCAGTCTCTTTCCCTTTGGTAACTGTTAGTCCATTCTGTTAGGTAACCCTGGTCACATTACTTGACTTCCCTAACTTGAAGTTTCCCGTTTTGTAAAATAAGGATAATAATATACTCTTTGTGAAGAGCCATGAAGGTTAAACAACATAATACAGTTGACCCTTGAACAATGCAGGACAGGGGTACCAACTCCCCATGCAGTTAAAAATCCACATACAGCTTTTGACTTCCCCAAAACTTAACCAGTAATAGCCTACTGTTGACCAGAAGCTTCACTGATAACATAAACAGTCCTTTAACACATATTTTGTATATTATATGTATTATATACTGTATTCTTACAGTAAAGCAAGCTAGAGAACAATTTTCAAATTGGCACAAATCTCCAAAATGTTTACAATATATGTATTGAAAAAGTCTGCATATAAGTGGACCAACACAAGCCTATGTTGTCAAGGGTTAACTGTAGTAAAACTGCCCAGCCCCTTGCAGGCTGAACAACACATCCCTCCAGGAAAACTTGGTGAAAAAAGAGTAAAAAGAAAAGAAGAATAAAACCAGGATTTGACTTAATGAACTAGACAGTCATTTTACTGAAACACTTTTATATAGAGATAAAGCAAATGACCAAATACATTAACTGCTATGCAGTAAGGTAAATTTTTTTCTAGAGGTCATTTGAAGAAATCCTCGGAAGAAAATGTTTGATATAAAGAAAATCTGTTTGTCATATCTTCAAACACTGTAACTGCAGTGTACCAGAAACTTATCACAAGAATGCCACATGCCCATGAAAGAAGAAAATGTATCAGCAGACAGCACCCACTTTAGTGGCTCTGGGCTCAAGGGTATGGCTTTTGATTACTCTTTGCCTTTATAGCCATATGCCCACACCTTTTGTCATAAGCCCATCAGCCTTGATGCTGTCACAGTAGATAAATCAGCAGTGGTTCTGATATCAGGCAGGAAAGATAATCACTTTTTACCACATTTTGGAGTAAAGCAACAAGCTATAAGCTCCTCTCAGGAGCAAGAAGCAACCACTCCAGCCAAACCAAAGAATCTGTATCTGCCATTCTAGCTAGCTATCAGAACTTCACAAAGTGCAATTTACTTTCAAGATATCACACACATACATCCCTTACTATATTTTACCGATCGTGCATACCAAATGTTCTTCACTAAAAATGTTCACAATATAGCAAAAGAAAACAGAGCAACATAACAAAACTTCATCTGCAGCATGATCTAAGTTATCTGGGTATGTTTGGGTGTATGTATTAAATGTGTATATAAAAAAAGACTATTCATGTAAATGTACATCTAATCAAAGACTGGAAGAGAATACATAAAAATTTAATAATAGTTACCTCTGGATAGTGATTTTTATTTTCTTCTATATACTTTCCTGTATATTTTAAGTTTTCTACAAGAAGCACATTAGTTTTGTTCACATAATTAATAATAGATACAACTGTAAAAGACAAAAAGTTTAATGATAAAATTCTTTAATAACATGAAAGACAGACAGGCCAAATTCTGAACTCCAGATGGCTTGATATTATTAAATTTTCCTCTTCTGTAAATTTAGAGTTGTAAAGTCCTTTCTACCTCTAATTTTCCACAACTCACACTTAATGGCTGTGATTAAGAAAACGGAGACACGTATCTCTGCTTTGACAAGTGTAGACTTTCTTTGTATTTATCAGCATTTTATTCAAATGAATCAGGTTAATATATATCATTCACTTCAAACTGAGTGAGGTTACTTTGCTACCAAGAAATATTTTTGAGTATCATAGTATTCCTCATAGGACAGATTCATTATTATCACAGAGAATCAAATAAAGGTGGGGTGATCTAAAATACAACTGTTCATGCTGGAAAAGAAAAGGACCAAAATCAAATGAGAAAAAATGTATAAATTGGCATTAGAAGATCGAAAGTGACTTTGACTATGGAGCAAAAAAATAGGATATTGCTGGATGGTGGGATTATGCATGATTTTTATTTTTATGATAAACATTTAAATCTCTGCAATAAGGCAAAATAGAAAAGTTTATTTTTAAAGTTAAGCTAAATAATAAATTATGTTTACTGATCTATCATACTAGACTAAATTCTTGCTATGCTGATAGTAGCTA